CTCCAGCTCAGTGCCCCACCACTGTGTTTTGGAGTAGAGAGCTCTGTGCCCTGCCCACATGGTAAAGGAGAGAAGCAATTCTGGCAAGCTGTCCTGACTTTCGTGCTTATGCACACACACAATGAAAGATAAAGATAAAGGTAGTTTAAATGACTTGGAGCTAGGAGGTGGTGGTGCACACCTTTAATTCCAGCACTTGAGAAGCAGAGGCAGGCAGATGTCTATGAGTTTGAGGCCAGCCTGGTCTATAGAGCAAGTTCCAAGACAGACAGGGCTACATAGAGAAACCCTGTATCGAAATCAAGAAAAAGAAGGGGAGAAAAAGAAAAACAAATGAACTTCAGAGGTTTCGTAGGAAACATTTTTTTTTTAATTTTTTGTATACAGTGTTCTGTCTGCATGTATACCTGCAGGCCAGAAGAGGGCACCAGATTTCATTACAGATGGTTGTGAGCCACCATGTGGTTGCTGGGAATTGAACTCAGGACCTCTGGAAGAACAATCAGTGCTCTTAACCTCTGAGCCATCTCTCCAGCCCTGTAGGAAACATTCTTACTGTGGTTGTCTGAAGACACTCCCAGAGACACAAACTTGCAGAGGCCAGGACCTTACCCAGAACTTCACACATCTGCAGCAGCTGCCTGCTTAGATCCACGTCACTCTTGTTATTAGTCATTGTGGCTGGGATTATTGTTTTAAAATATCTGACGCCAGCATCTTTATCTGTAAAACTTCTTGCTCAAGCTTTGTGACTACGCCCATAATTTATTATGGCATGTGGGTTGCCACGGCAATGCTCTGCTCTTCCCAAGTAAACATTAAATGGCAGACTTCCTTAGATGATCTCTCTCCGACCTATTTTTTTAAATTACTTGGTGCCGAAGAGCACAGCTGGGGACAAGCATGCGTTGTGCTGCTCAACTGCCACTGCCGACTGTCTTTGATTTTGCACTTGAGGCAAATAGAGAAAGGATTTTTATATTATAGTCCAGGCTGGCCTTCAACTCAGTATCCTCCTGCCTCAGCCTCCTGGTGCTAAAATGTGTGGGTATGTGCCCTATTATATGAACCAGTTACTCAAGGATTATGGGGGGAAAACTTCAAACATGAGGAATACACACGCATACATACACACAAAGTTATGATTTAAATATAAAATGTCCCCCACATAGTGGGGTTGGAGACATGGCTCATTAGTTAAGAGTACTTGCTGCTATTGCAGAGGACCCAGGTTCAATTTCCTGTACCCACATGGTAATTTACAACCAACCAATCTGTAACTCCAGTTCCAGGGGATCTGATGCCCTCTTCTGGCCTCTGAGGATACCAGGTACACACACAGTTCACTTACATACATACAAGCTCATACGGTTAAAAAAATATATAAAAGAAAAGAAAAAGTCCACACAGGCTCCTGTGTTGGATAATAGGCCCCACGGCTGACAGGCTGTTTTTGAAGGCTCCGAAAACCTTAGGAGGCAAGTTCTGGTTGAGGAAGTAAAAGCCCTTGCCTCACAGAGGAGAACAGAGTGAGCCTAAGAAGCTGATGGAAGTGGAAGGTTTGAATACAAATAGGGTTTGTCGATTTCACTCTTACCATGAACAACATGGCTAAGTCTTTGCTTATAGAGCCTTAAGAATCCTGTGTTTGGGAGTCAGAAGAAAAAGGAGGAGGAAGGAGGAAAGGAGAAGGAAGAAAGGAAAGAGAGGACAAGGAGAGAGAGAGAGAGAGAGAGAGAGAGAGAGGACAGAGGGGAGAGAGAGGGAGGAAAGACAGGAAGAAGGAAAGACAGGAAGAGAAAAGATGGAGAGAGAGAGAGAAGAGAGAGAGAGAGAGAGAGAATGTGTAGGCCATTCTGTCATACCTCCCAGAAAAATGAAAAAGCCCATTTGCTGGATGATGGGTGTGGCTCTGTAGTAGAGTATATACTTAGCATGAAGGGGTCCAGGGGTTATTCCCCAGCACAGAATTGGTGAGCGGAGCAATTGATAATAATGTGTCCGTACCTGGTCGGTGACCCTCCTTTTTACTATTCTGCCCAAGAGCAATGTTTCTGCTGGGGGTAGGGGGGGCACAATGGAAGTAGCCCTGTTCCCCTCTTCTTCTTTTGTGGAGTTTACTTAAGTTCTTTTTGTTTGTTTGTTTGTTTGAGACAGGGTTTCTCTGTGTAGTTTGAAGCCTGTCCTGGAACACCATCTGTCCTGGAACACCAGGCTGGCCTCAAACTCAAGAAATCCCCCCTGTGTCTGCCTCCCAGGTACTGGAATTAAAGGTGTGCACCACCACCGCCCAGCTTGCCAGCTTTTCTTAACTTAAATTATCCTGACACCTTTTGCCTCTGTGCTTCTTCCTTTTCTTCCTTTTGTATATCTGACTTTCACTCTTAGCCCGTGGCTGTCTGGGTTGGCTCTGAAGTCCTCCTAGCCCTCCTCCACTCGTTCTCTCTGTCATTGCTCCTCCTCTTCCTCGGTTCTCCTCCTATTTATCCTCTCTGCCTGCCCGCCCCGCCTATCCTTGCTCCTGCCTCCTATTGGCTATTCAGGTCTTTATTAGACCATCAGGTGTCTTAGGCAGGCAAAGAATCACAGCTTCACAGAGGTAAACAAATGCAGCCTAAACAAAAGTACCACACCTTTAAAACATTAAATAAATGTTCCACAGCATGAACAAACACAACACACCTTAAAATGATATTCCCTACCAACATCACCCCCTACCACAGAGGGCTGAGGAGGGTCACGAGACCCTTTCCTGAGTGTCCAACTGTTCCCTCTACCTGACATATGAACTCTGCCTTCATTGAATGTGGCCTTGGGAAGGGCTAGAGTAACTAGGCTGGGGGAGACTTGGGAAGAGCATTCTCTGTGCCACTAAAGGCTTTCCACACACAGCCTTTGGGGAGGAGCACCCATGCCTCTGTAAGTAACTCTCACCTATGAGCCCCAAAACTCATTAGTTCCCCAAAGTAAACTTTGGTGGAATCTTACCTTGGGACCTTAGGAGGAGGAGGCATAGATTTTACTCAGTTTCATCACTGGGAAGGAGTTTCAGTGAGAGCAGCTCTGTGCCCTCTCCTCCATAACCTGCTGCCCACTGACATTTCCTCTAGTGACGTGAAATGCCTGTCAACAATGCAGGAAGTGTGCAGCTCCCGTCTCCCCAGCTCCTTTTCACAAGGCGGAAACACACCAAAGGCAAGGTATTGCCAGCATGTCCTTGAGGACAAACTGGTGAGGAGCTAGCTGTGGCTCACATGGGAGCACAGCCATCTTGGGAGGAGGGAACCTATCTTAAAGGGACATTGTACCCTTCTTTTGACTTAACTATTTTTATTTATTTATTTATTTTAGGTTTTCCAAGACAGGATTTCTCTGTAGCTTTGGAGCCTGTCCTGGAACTAGCTCTTGTAGCCCAGGGTGACCTCGAACTCACAGAGATCCACCTGCCTCTGCCTCCCAAGTGCTATGATTAAGGGCGTGTGCCACCACCGCCTGACTGACTTAACTATTGAAATAAAGGGTGCCGAGACATTAGACTCTCCCAGACATCTTGTGCCGGGGGAAGGCAAAGGCTGAGGTCTAGCACCTGCCTGAGGAGGAACTTGTCTCTCAGGAATGCACCTCACACAGTTCTGATAATTTCGAAACGCCTGACAGCCGAGACAGTGATGGGCAGGACCACATTCTGAAGCAGTGTTGTTTAGCTATGCCTAGCCCTCACTCTCCGCTTAAACCTCAGGCCAGGACCCTACAGGCAATGGGGAGCTCACTAGACTCTTTGTTCTTCCCCACACAGCCATACTGGATAAGCCCCTGTGGTTTTCACTGTTACCTGTCTGTTTAACTGGCCTGTTGAGGGGAGCGGGCTGAGACTAGCTGCTATTGTCTGACCCAAGAGACTTCTCTCTCTCTCTTACTATTCATATTTGGTTTTTCAAGACAGGATTCCCCTGTGTAGCCTTGGCTGTCCTACAGCTTGCTCCGTAGATGAGATTGGCCTCAAATTCACAGAGATCTGCCTGCCTCTGCCTTTTGAGTGCTGGGATTAAAAGCGTGTGTCACCATGCCTGACAAAAAAGAGAGATTTCTTTAAAATGCCATCCGGGGGGCTGGAGATATAGTTTAGCAATTAAGAGCACTTGCTGCTCTTCCAGAGGACTCAAGTTCTATTCCCAGTGCCCAAACTCTATGCTGCCTGTAACTCTACAGGGGATCCAATGCTCTCTTATCGCCTCCAAAAGCACTTGAACATACATGGCTGAGTATGCGCGCACACGAGCGCATGCACACACATGCACAAACTAAAAACTTACTGTCCTAGTGACTAATGAGAACAAGCAGACCCCAGGCCCCTCTGACAGGTCAAAGGCCCATTCTTTTCTCCGTAGACCAATCCTCCTCATGCGTCTCAATTTTTACTTCTATAATTGCTGGACTGCAAGGTCCCTCCCCATAGCACCCCAGAGCTAGGAGCAGGAGGATGACTACAAGTTTGAGGCTGGTCTGGTCTACACAGCGAGAGAGCCTCTGTCTTTAAACGAGTACCACTCCCTGCCGACCAGCGACCAGCTCCAGAACCAGGAAGCCCAGCTCCCTGACTCTGCCCGGGCTCAGTAGTCAGCAGCAGCCTCTCCTTCACCCGCCACCCACCATTCATGTTCCCAGATGCAGCCGCATCTTGTCTTCTGTCCCGTGGTCCCTCTCCTCTCCGGTTCACGTGTTTTCTCAAATCTCTTCTTTTGCCTCTCCCTGGGTTGAGGGGGCCGTCTAGGCAGTCCACGTGACTGTGGCGGAAACTCAGGCCCACCAGACCTTCCTGGTCCCACCAAATAGGACACTGAGGGTGAGTGAGGGTGGAGTTGAGGATTGCTACCAGGTTGTGGCCTAGTCAAGCTTCTGCCTCCCCCCTCCCCCCAGCCAAGAGCCACTTAACCTTCCTGCCTGGAAGTGAGGCAGGCAGGAACCATGGGTGGATTCCCAGAATCCCTGGGTCTGGGAGGCTGGGGGCAGGGCCAGGTGCTGGACAAACAGATCAAAGGTGAGCCAAGCTGAGCCTGCAGAGCTCTGGGCCTGCAGAGCTGGGTGGCACATCATGAGGTGGGTGAGTGAGTGACCCATGGCCCCTGGGGGAGCAGGAGGGATCAGGCCCGGGCCCTCATGCCCCTTCCCTGCCCATAGGCTGCTCATCTTCCTAGGCCTACTGTGGAGCTTGGTGACCACACTTTGTGCTTCAAAGTGGCCCGAGCCTGTATTCGGACGCCTGGTGTCACCTGGTTTCCCAGAGAAGTATGGCAACAATCAGGATCGGTCCTGGAAGCTGACTGCACCTCCTGGCTACCGCCTGCGCCTCTATTTTACCCACTTCAACCTGGAACTCTCTTACCGCTGCGAGTATGATTTTGTCAAGGTACCTGGCAGGTGACGGGGGCACGGCTGGCGCCATGGGGCATGGCAAAGTCTGACAGGAAGGCAGGCCTGGCTCTAACCTTCCCTCCCTCTGACCCCACAGTTGAGCTCAGGGACCAAGGTGCTGGCTACACTGTGTGGGCAGGAGAGTACGGATACTGAGCAGGCACCGGGCAACGACACCTTCTACTCACTGGGCCCTCACCTGGAGGTCACCTTCCACTCGGACTACTCCAATGAGAAACCATTCACAGGCTTTGAGGCCTTCTATGCAATGGAGGGTGAGCACTCCCGGGCCCAGGCTGCCCAGCTACAGTTGGGGTGACTGCGTTATCTTAGCCATACCCCCATCTTGGGGTCTCTTGCTTCTCACCTCTCCTGGGCTCTGGATTCAGGTCAAACCAGCAGTCCTGCCATTGCCTGACATCATCCACCGTGGGGGTAATGACACAGGGCCTGGTAGCTGCTAAGGACGTAATGATGCCGCAGCACACAGATGTCAGGTCACAAGCACTTGCACATAGGCCTCAGCGTGTGACTTCACACTTGACTGCACACTCTGGTCCCTTAAGGGACTGTCTATGTGACCTCAGGCAAGTGAGGTCTCTCTATGCCCAGACAGCTGCTGCATGGGGTCCATGGAACCTCATCCACCCTGTTCGCCACTGGGTTGATTGATCACACTGTCTGGGCGGCTCTGAGCATGACTCAACCTGTCAGTGGTTTAGCAAGGGTGCTATTTGCATCTCTGCCCCAGGGCTGTGAATTGCCAGGCAGCAGGCCTCCTCCCAAGGGGGTCACCAAGGCCTGAGCTCTGTCCCATCTCATCCTCCTTGCCTGCCTGCCCTGTCCCCTAGATGTGGATGAGTGCCGAGCGTCGCTGGAAGAAGTCCCTTGTGACCATTACTGCCACAACTACCTGGGCGGCTACTACTGCTCCTGCAGAGTGGGCTACGTTCTCCACCAGAACAAACACACCTGCTCAGGTGAGGGGGTGAGGTACCCCTCTGCACCGATTGCTCCAGCTCCCCAAGGCATACCTGGCTCCTCCCTAGCCAATTACCTCTTCCTCCTGGGTGGTTCCTGGGTAGGCTTGGCATCTCTGGCTAAGCCTGGAACACCTTGAGCTTCCCTTCTATCACAGACCCTCAGGGTAGGGGGGCAGCACCGGCAGGCTCAATGTTACTGTTCCTGACCACAGCCCCTGGACACTTGCTTTGGCCTCCCTGTTCCTCGATCCTTTCCCCTGGCCCTGCTCTCCTCAGTCTTCCTGATGCCCCCTCTCTCTTCCAGAGCAGAGCCTCTAACCTCCCTCAGCTCCAGCCTGCCCACCCCAAGGGGTCAGATGTCAGAGCGTGTCCACCCCCTGCAGCTCTGCGTCAGGCTGGAATGGCTGCCAGCGACAGCAACCATCCGCCATACCCACAACAGCAATAAACCTGCCTCCATCTCCACTGTGGCTGTGTGTCTCTTGTGGGGAGTGGGGGAGAATTAGGAGCCGCTGAGCCACTGGGTGCCTTCATCTTAGCCCTCCTTGCCCCTTAGCCTGATGGCAGGAACCTCCTCCAGGGCCCTAGGCACTTGCAAGGGGCTTGCTTTAAGCCCCTTAACCTGTGGATGGGGCGCTGAATGGGCAGGGATTAGCCTGAGCTCACACAGGAAGACCCTCCTCCTGTTACTGCTTCTCCTGAAGCTGATCTCAGGATATCTCCAGCCAGTTCTTGTTTATAGGGCAATGCAGGGTTTTGTTTCCTGACCTGGAAAAGCTTGATTCAGAACAGAGAGACCAAAAGTGTCGCCAAAGGATCAGGCTAGATACCCTGCATCCAGGGGAACCTCTCTACCAGTAGGAAGCAGCCTCAAGGAAGGAGGGCAGTGCAGAGTCTTCACTTCCTATGAGCCATCTTACCACCCGTCTGCCCCCACCCTGAGCGGGGGAGGGAGGAGAAGATCCTCTCAAAGAGGTGGCACCTGATCACCTACAGGGTAGCTTAGCAGCCTGAGAAAGGAGGGCAGACTGTGTGCACACTGGTGACAAAAATTTCCCTGCACTGTCCCCAGGGCCACTTCTAAGAACAGGGAAGGCCTGGGAAAAGCCTTCCCAGGCTGTTCCCTGGGATCCAGGGCTCTGGGCTGGTCTCCGCCAGACATGGCAGGAGCCCCCCTGTGGACACACTTGGGAACTGTGAGGTGGGCACTGGAGTGATTTGGTAGCAGGAAAAAGCCCTGACTGAGTTCAAGGGGCGGCTTCCTTCCTTTCCCTGCATTGCTAAGGCCCCTGGGGAGGTGGCCTGCCTCCTCTCTCCAGGGCCCACTTCCCTCTGGCCAAGCCTCCCTTCCTTTGCTCTCCACCTCTTAGCTGGGGTAAGCTGGGGTAGGAGCTTGGGCCCCGGCGAGCTATCCCTGATGCTACCCTGCTTCAGCTAACGCCTGAGGGCAACAGAGTCCCTTTCTGTCCTTTGGCATCATCTAGGGTGGGAGTCTGTGTCCCCTCCTGCCTCTGCGGTTTATCAAGAGCTGGGCCTTGACCAAGCCCAGGACATAGATGTCCCGGGTGTTTCCCCATTCTCGAGTGCTGTCCCGCGTTGGAGCGGTCATGCTATCCTGTCTTCTCTCCTCCCAGCCCTGTGTTCAGGCCAGGTGTTCACTGGGAGGTCTGGGGAGCTCAGTAGCCCTGAATACCCACAGCCGTACCCCAAACTCTCCAGCTGCACCTACAGCATCCGCCTGGAGGAGGGCTTCAGGGTCATCGTGGACTTCGTGGGGTCCTTCGATGTGGAGACGCACCCTGAGGTCCAGTGCCCCTATGACTCCCTCAAGGTCTGGTTCTTGCGCCCTTCCCTTGTTGTGTTCCCTTGTCGTCCCCCCAAAAAGCCTCCATTTCTTTCAACTAGTGACCCCCCTGTGTTCTGTCCCTCAGTGAGTCTCTTCCAACCTTTCCATGGGGGTCTAAGCCAGGTTGTGGCTTCCTCATGAAGAACGGGGTACCACCCTCTTGTACCAGCCTGACCCAGCCACTTTCAGTTGGTGCCCTTCCCTCTAACGCAGGCCAGACCCCTGCAGCAGGTCCTAGGGTTTTCTTTGTTCAGATCCAAACAGAGCAGAGGGAATACGGCCCATTTTGTGGAAAGACCTTGCCCCTCAGGATTGAAACAAACAGCAACAACGTGACCATCACGTTTGTCACTGATGAGTCGGGGAACCACACAGGCTGGAAGATACGCTACACAAGCACAGGTGAGCGAGCGGCTGGGGCGCAGGCAGCAAAGGAAACGGTTTCTGTCCCTTGTGCAGCATCAACAGACTACACAGCGCTGGCTAGTTCCTGGCCAGGCCAAGGAAGGGAGCCCAGATGGAGTAGAGTAGCCTGTCACGTGACACTCGTGATAGCAATAGTCTCCCTCCTCTCTTCTCTCTTCACCCAGGCGGCCATTTTCCTGGGCAACCTCCCCCTTCCCTCGGTTCTGGTTTTTTGTGGTTTTTTTATTTTTTTTTTTTTTTTTTTTTTGGTTTTTCGAGACAGGGTTTCTCTGTAGCTTTGGAGCCTGTCCTGGAACTAGCTCTTGTAGACCAGACTGGCCTCGAACTCACAAAGATCCACCTGCCTTTGCCTCCCGAGTGCTGGGATTAAAGGCGTGCGCCACCACCGCCCAGCTGGTTCTGGTATTTTGAGATAGTGTCTAACTCTGTAGGTCGGAACTTGTCTTACAGCAAAACCGCCCTTAAACTCGGATCTTCCTGCCTCAGCCCAAGAGCTGCGATTCCAGGTCCACGCTTCCCTCTGTTTTGGCCCCGTCAGGAGCCACCCACCCACACATCTATCGATCCACCCAACCACCCATCCCCTCACTCTCCTATTCCCTTCCGCATCTGTACTTCCTGTAGACGCGCACTGAGAAGGGCCTGCCTAGCACGCACAAGGCCCTGTGCGCAATTCTCAGCATCACTACTGAAAAAAGGATGCTGCAGAAGCCAGAGTCCCTAACAGTCTCTGCCCTCAGTTCAGTGTGGAAAATGTTAGGTCCCTGTGGCACAGCCTTTGAGGAAGCATCGAGTCCAGTGAGACTGCAGACGAGAGCCACAGCAAATACTGTCCCCTCATCTCAGTCTTGCTCTTTCCTACAAGTGACACTCTTGGCTTCAAACCACGTGCCATCCTCTGGCACAGAGAATTTCAATCGTGCTGCATTTCTGGTTTTCTTTTTCTTGTGTGTGTGTGTGTGTGTGTGTGTGTGTGTGTGTGTGTGTGTGTGTTTCAAGACAGGGTTTCGCCGGGCTGGCCTTGAACTCACTGAGATCCGCCTGTCTCTGCCTCCCGAGTGCTGGGATTAACACAAGTGCCACCCCGCACCTGGCTTGTATTTAATTTACAGCTAAGACTGCAGATTGCTGAATTCAGTCCTGACTGTTACAAAATAAGCCTGTTTCCTCTGCACAGCACAGCCCTGCCCTGATCCAACGGTGCCACCTAATGGTCACATTTCACCCGTGCAAGCCAAGTACATCCTGAAGGACAGCTTTTCCGTCTTCTGCAAGCCTGGCTTTGAGCTTCTCCAAGTGAGTCACTAAAAACCTGAGTGCCTATGATCATGGTGCCTTTGAAATTCGAGATGAAAATGAGAAGTGTGCTGGGTGGTGGTGGCACACGTCTTTAATCCCAGCAGGTGGAGGCGGAGGCAGGAGGATCTCTGTGAGTTGGAGACCAGCCTGGTTTACAGTCTACAAGAGCTAGTTCCAAAACCAGTACAGGCTCCAAAGCTACAGGAAAACCTTGTCTCGGAAAAAAAAAAAAGAAAAAGAAAAAAAAAGAAAAGAAAAAAGAAAATAGAAATGCTTATGTACGCAGAAAACAATCAGAGTAGTAAGTTTGCAGCAAAGAGAAATAGGAGAATCTTTCTGGGGGACTGTGGTGTGTGTGGGGGGGAGGGGAATCTGCCTTTCATTTTGTTTTGAGGCAGTTTTTGCTATGTAGCCCAAGCTGGCCTAAGACAATGTAGTCCAGGCTGGCCTCAAATTCAAATTCTTTTTGCTTCATGCTGGGCATTGGTGGCACACACCTTTAATCCCAGCACTTGGAAGGCAAAGGAGGGAGGATCTCTGTGAGTTTGAGGCCAGCCTAGTTTATAGAGCAAGTTCTAGAATAGGCTCTAAAACTACACAGGGAACCCTGTCTTGAAACATTAAAAAAAAAATTAACCTTCCTGCCTCAACCTCCCAAGTGCTGGGATGATTATAGCATATGCTCATGTGCTGCTACAAGCAGTCACGCCTTTGAAAAGTCATTTCATTACTTTGTTTTTTTTTCAATTTTTTTCTTAAAAAGCACGTGCCACCACTGCCCAGCCGGTTTCTGATTGTTTGTTGTTTAATTTATGTGCATTGATATTTTGCCTGCATGTATATTCTAAATCTTTTTCAGTGCTTACTTTAAGTGCATTGGCATTTTGCCTGCATAGGTCTCTGTGTGTGTCAGATCCCCTAGAACTGGAGTTAAAGACAGGTGCAAGCTGCCATGTAGGTGCTGGGAACTGAACCCAGGGTCCTCTGAAGAGCAGCTGGTGCTCTTAATCACTGAGCCGCCACTCTGGCCCTTTCTGTTTGTTTTTCTGAGACAGAGTTTCTCTGTGTAGTGCCAGATATCCTGGAACTCCCTTTGTAGACCAGGCTGGCCTCCAACTCACATAGATCTGCCTGCCTCTGCCTCCCAAGTGCTGGGATTAAAGGTGTGTGCCACCACCGCCTGGCTCAGCAGTCACTTCTTGAGACAATGGCTCAAGATGTAGACCAGAGTTGTCATGTGCTCTTTGGCTTCCTGCTTCAGCCTCTCCAGTGCTGGGATTATAGGTGTACAAGGTCACAGCTGGCTGAGAGTTCTACTTCTGGTGCTGAGGCCTGACTCTCACACTATGTATGCTGTCTGCATCATGGCCTGCACAGCCCACAGCCTTGTCTCTGTGAAGCCTCTTAGAGAAAGAACTTCTGCTCATTCACTGCGGCAGCTCTCTGGAAAGGGGCTGAGACAACAGAAAGGGGTGTGTGCACCTTGCCCCATGAGCTCTGCAGAGCTCCTCTTAAATTAAGTCTTCCCTGGTCAGCTGACAACTTTCCTGGGGAACAGCCCCTGGGCCCACAAAGCTTAGACAGCCCTGGAAAGAGTACATTCTGCAAAGTTATAAATAGTGCTCACTGTTAAGGGAGAGGGAAGATAATTTTAAAAACTGCTTAGTGCATTGCTTCAGGGCACAGGTAAGAGATTAACTCATCTTCTCTGTGTTCTTCAAAATTGTCACTGAATCCCAGTGGCGAAAAGCAATAACCCTGGAGTGACAGCCAGGGATGGAATCCAGTCTGTAGAGGGGCAAACTGGAGAAAGCCCCACCTTGCAAACCTCTTGGTCAGCCTCTCCCATTGTTTAACTGCAAGACCACAAATTTGTTCAACTGTTCTGAAACAGTTTATGTAGCCTAGGCTGGCCTTGAACTTCCTCTGTAGCTGAGGATAGTCTTGGCCTGATTTTTTTGCTTCTACTTTCCCAGTGCTGGGATTGACGCATGTTCCATCTTGCCCAGTGTATATGGTGCTTTGGACCAAACCCAGGACTTTGCAGATGCTAGTAAAGCACTCTATACATCCTGTGTTTACTATTTAACTGAAAAATGTATATCCTTTGAAACATAGCTTTTGCAAATGGCACCCTCTTCCATTAACACATACTTTCCCTTTCTCTGGACTATGTAGACCAGGCTGGTTTCAAAAGCAGAGATCCGCATGCCTTGGATTAAAGGTTGTATCACCACACTTGGCTCAGTGGTTGATATTCAGGGACATGTCTTGTCTTGGATTAAAGGTGTGTTCAGCTTAATGTTTGACTTTAGTAACTGATCTCTGCAGTTTTTTGCAAACATTTTTGGAGGTGGGTGGGCAGAGTTGAGACAGGGTTTCTCTGTGTAGCCTGACTGTCCTGAAACTTGATTTGTGGACCAGGCTGACCTTGAACTCAGAGATCTGTCTGTCTCTGCCTCCTTGAGCATTGGGGTCACTGGCACTACCACGTCAGGCTTCTTTTGAAAAAAAAAAAAAAAAACGCCATTTATTTGTGTGGCTTCATACACGTTAGTGTTTGGAGGCCAGTTCTCCTTTTACCATGCAGATTGCAGATCTCAAATTCAGGTTGTCAGGCTTGGCAGCTAACCTTATCTGCTGAGCCATCTCACTGGCCCTGGCCCTATCTGGCACTTTGTATAAATAAATGCTGGAAGAGACTGGAGAGACGATTGATTAAACACACTAGCTGTACTTGCAGAAGACTGGCGTTCAGTTCCGAGCACCTACACGGTGGCTCACAACTCCCCTAACTTGGTTCAGGGGATCCAAGGCCGCCTTCTGACCTCCATAGACATCTGGCACATCAGCAGTACGCAAAGCAGTCAAACCCATAAAACAAGTCTAATTTTTTTTTTTTATTTTTGCCAGGCAATGGTGGCACACACCTTTAATCACAGCACTCAAGAGACAGAGGCAGGTGGATCTCTGTGAGTTCAAGGCCAGCCTGAACAAGAGCTAGGCTTCAAAGCTACAGAGAAACCCTGTCTCGAAAAACCAAAACCAAAAAAAAAAAATCATTTTTTTTAGTAACAACAGTTTTTTAATATTTATTTATTATGAATACAATGACCTGTCTGTGTGTATGCCTGAAGGCCAGAAGAGGGCACCAGACCTCATTACAGATGGCTGTGAGCCACCATGTGGTTGCTGGGAATTGAACTCAGGACCTTTGGAAGAGCAGGCAATGCTCTTAACCACTGAGCCCCACCCAAAAAATTATTTTTTAAATGATATGTTTGATTGTGTACACCTTTAGTCCCAGCACTCAGGAGGCAGAAGCAGGTGGATCTCTGTGAATTAAAAAATCAGTCTGGTCTGGCAGTGGAGGCATACACCTTTAATCCCAGCACTCAGGAGGCAGAGGCAGGTGGATCTCTGTGAGTTCAAGGCCAGGCTCGTCTACAGAGCTAATTCCAGGACAGGCTCCAAAGTTAGAGAAACCCTGTCTCGAAAAACTGAAAAAAAAAAAAAAAAACCCAGCCTGATCTACACAGTTCCAGGACAGCAGGGCTTCACAAAAATAAATGGTAGAGGGGGCAGGGGGCGAGCCCCTCCAGAGGAAGGGAACAAATGAGAGGGGATTACTGACAAGAGCTTTGGCCAGATGAGTTCCAGGGTGCATTGGGAAGCAGTATATATGGTAAGAATTGCAGCAGTTATTAATGTGTACAATGCCACCATGGAATAGGTGACATAAACCAGCAGAGCTGTTGGCAGCAAATGTGCACATGAAACAAGGCAGCGGGACCAAGGTCCAGGCCTTCCACGGTTGCTGCTCTCACTTGAGGTTTAGGGGAGGGACCTGATGTTAATAGGGAGCTCATTTTCTGAATTTTCTCTTCAGGGTTCTGTGTCCCTAAAATCATTCACTGCTGTCTGTCAGAGGGATGGATCCTGGGACCGGCCAATACCAGAGTGCAGCAGTACGGTCATATGGTGACAAGCCCCTTCCCTTGCTGCCACCTGTACCATTTCTGTGTTGTCCCTTCGTGTGTACACACGTGAATGCACATGTAGTTAGAGCAGTGGTTCTCAACCTTCCTAACGCTGCGGCCCTTTAATACAGTTCCTCGTGTGGTACCCACAGACCATAAATTTTCATTGCTATGCTATAACTGTAATTTTGCTACTGTTATGAACTGTAATGTTTTCCATTGGCCTTAAGCAACCTGATAAAGGGTCACTCAACCCCAAAGGAGCCACTACCCGTAAGTCGAGAACCACTGGGTTACGGGCTGTCTGGCATTCTCTACAAGTCCCCACCTCCTCATCTTCCTTAGGGATGATCTTGCCATCTCTGGTTTACCTGGGTGCTGGGGACCTATGCCTGTACAGAAAGCACGCTCCTATTCTGAGCAATCTCCCCAGCCACCACTAATCACTTCTGTGACTTCTCTTGTCATTCCCACCTCCCCTGCCAAATGAATCATTACTAGGGCATGAATTCCAGATTTCCTTCTACTCAAGTCTGTGGGCTAAGAGGAACCGAAGTACTGGGGAAAGGCAGAGTGTTTTGAAATAATTCAGAGTGTAGTAAGTGTAAAATGATGCTCTTGCAGACAGAAATGTAGGGAAAACATCTGAGCCTCTTAATTCCTATCACCCTACAGAAGTGTGATGCTGCTGTGTAGGCCTCTCTCCTGTTCTTTTTCTTTTTGTTTTTCCAGACACGATTTCACTGTTTAGCTCTGGCTGTCCTGGAACTTGGTCTGTTGATCTCATCTGCCTCTATCTCCCTGAGTGCCGAGATTAAGGTGTTTGCTATCATCCCACCACCACACCCCCTCTGTGGGCACACAAAGGCACATTGTAACTGCAGGATGAGGACAGTTCTGTACAGTGTGCACACCCACCACACATGTACAGGGATAATGGCACATTCCCATTTTGAAAACTAAGAAATTTCTCAAGAATCACATGCTCTTAGTACTCTCACTACAAGAGTCCACATATTTGAAAACAAACTTCAAGGTTTGAGAGTATCTGGGCAATCAGTGGTCTGGGGCCTGCTACTGCTACTTTGTAGTTCTAGACACAGAAGCTATTTCACCTGGAGCATGGCAGAGCACTAGCTGCTGCTCTTCCAGAGAACCCAGGTTCAGTCCCCAGCACCCACCTGTTTAACTCCAGCTTCAGGGCTTCTGACACCCTCACACATACCTTATGAACATGCAGGCAAAACACCAATGAACATGAAATTTTAAATTAAGAGAGGCTAGGCAGTGGTGGCACACACCTTGAATCCAAGCACTTGGGAAGCAGAGGCTAGAGCGAGTTCCAGGGTAGGCTCCAAAGCTATAGAGAACCCCCCCCCCTTTTTTGAGACAAGGTTTCTCTGTAGCTTTGGTGTCTGTCCCAGCTGACCAGGCTGGCCTTGAACTCCCAGAGATCCGCCTGCCTCTGAGCTGAGATTAAAGGCGTGCACCACCACCACCTGGCAAGAAACCCCATCTTGAAAAACTAAATATAATTATGATTGAGTCAGGCCGTAGTGGCAGCACACCTTTAATCCCAGTACTTTTGAGGCAGAGGACACAGCAACTTCTAGGACAGCTAGGGATATGTAGAGAGACACTGTCTCAAGCACCCCTGCCCTTCCTAATCAACACCCCTCAGGGATTCTACAAAATTCTAACTGTAAACAGGACCTTTAGTCCACTGGTTTGTCACACATGAACACTGGCTTTTCTTCCATGTTCTCCTGTAGACCATTTCTTTTGAACAAAGGGGTTCTTCTTCCCTACTGTTTCTTTACTAGTTGCTGACTGTGGCCCTCCTGATGACCTACCCAATGGCCACATGGAATACATCACAGGCCCTGAAGTGACCACCTACAAGGCTGTCATTCAGTACAGCTGTGAAGAGACTTTCTACACAATGAGCAGTGATGGTAAGTACTTTCTTCAAGGAGGGGCGGGTGGTACTTGGAACTTGAGTCCTTAAGGTTGAATATAAACTTGAAGCAGACTTTTTGGCTAAGGGAGACAAAGGATTAAAAGGCCTTTCTCCCTCGTGCTAAGTGAAATATTACAGTTGAAGTGACTTTAATGTCAATTTGCAAGAATCTGAAAACAGATCTTATCTAGTAAATGACTACCACAAACACACAATATATTCCAAATGGTTTAATTTAACAAGTCAAAAACCTTATCATTAAGCACTTGAGATCTTGATACATATTCAAGTTACACATCTAAAAGGTTTCCACTTTGCAAGCAAACATGGTAATGCAGACAGCTATTTATGAAATCATGTAAAATGGTTATTCACACGCCTCTCCCCACCATGGATGCTCAAGAATCAACATTTTTCAAAGGGTTATTCAAGCAAATGATAACCACAGTTAAACATTTTTGCTTTTCCAACAATTTGCAGGTAAATATGTGTGTGAAGCTGATGGATTCTGGACGAGCTCCAAAGGAGAAAAATCCCTCCCGGTTTGCAAGCCTGGTAATGGACGCATTTATAAAAGAGATTCACAGCTGACAGTGTAGATGGAGGATAACAGGCAGACAGGGAGCTCAGAGGCTGGCTTAGGCCAACATAACTCCCAAGCGTGTTCTCATTACCCCTTTGCACACAGAGGCTGCTAGCTGCATCACTCATTTGACTATTTTTGACCTTACGATTAGGCAAGCGTAAAAAATTAAATGCTTTTTTAAATTATCTAAAACGATTTATACACTTATAAACACGAATTCTTGCTGAGTTACTTTTCTGCTCTGTAAAAGTGCTATTAAAACCCAAAGCTAATAACTTCATTATTTCCCTAAGCAACTGTTTTCAACAACATCTACGTTTTTCAACATTAATGCAATTTGCCTTTTAATAGTATTTAATTTTTTTAAACCAGAATTGGCTCCAACAATAATAGTTGAAAATGCTTTAAAAAAAATTAAAGGTAATAATGCACTCATTACCCCCATGTTAGCTGGTTTAAATTAGTTTTCTAATTCTATATTTGGTTTACATGCTGTTTCTAAGTTTTAATCAAAGTACAAGACCGCAATAAGAAACATGTGCTGCATTCCTGAGTAATTAGCTTGCAACAGACACTGTAAACTTAATGTTTGGATGATTCAACCAGACCAGAAACACAAATTTTAGAACCAGAAGCATCTTAGCCATTGCTGCTACATTATGATTTACTATATTTTTACATTCAAAGCCAACAGTAATTTTACAAACCATAACCTTAATTCCTGCCTTCCCGGAATTCCTAATGATCTCAGAGGTAAAGCAAGCAATACAGAGTTCTGACCTTTTGCCTGTATGTGGTGCTCATACCTCTGTTTACACAATTCCTGTCCGTATTGTCTATAGTTTCCCTCATCTCTTTTCCTAAAACAAAAGAAGAATCTGTGAAATCTTACTGATCTTGAGGAGCTAAGCAATTAGATAAGGACTTATCAAGTAAAGCTGGACAGCCTCACTTGCCTAACAGAGAAAAGAGGATGCCTACCTACCCATCAATCCATGGGATATAACTGTTGACACTCAACTTGCTTTTACTCTTTCCTCAGTCTGTGGGCTGTCCACACTCTCTACAGGAGGCCGCATATTTGGAGGGCAGCACGCAAAGACTGGTAACTTTCCTTGGCAAGTCTTACTACTGGGTGAGACCATAGCGGCAGGGGCTCTTATACACGACAACTGGGTCCTAACAGCCGCTCATGCCGTGTATGGGATAACAGAAGATGTGTCCTCTCTGGACATTCGCATGGGTATCCTCAAAAGGCTCTCACCTCATTATACCCAAGCCTGGCCTGAGGCTGTCTTTATACACGAAGGTTACAATCACGATGCTGGTTTTGACAATGACATAGCACTGATTAAACTCAAGAACAAAGTCACCATCAATCGAAATGTCATGCCTGTTTGCCTGCCAAGAAAAGAAGCTTCATCCTTAATGAGGGCAGATACCATTGGAACTGTGGCTGGCTGGGGCTTAACCCAGAAGGGGTTTCTTGCTAGAAACCTAATGTTTGTGGACATACCAATTGTTGACCATCAAAAATGTACTTCTGCATATGCAAAGCTCTACCCAGGAAGAAAAGTAACTGCTAACATGCTCTGTGCTGGCTTACAAACTGGTGGCAAGGACAGCTGCAGAGGTGACAGTGGAGGGGCATTAGTGTTTCTAGATAATGAAACACAGCGATGGTTTGTGGGAGGAATAGTTTCCTGGGGTTCCATTAATTGTGGGGAGGCAGACCAGTATGGGGTCTACACCAAAGTCATTAACTATATTTCCTGGATCGAGAACATAATGAGTAACTTTTAACTTGCATGCCTCCAATCTGGAAATTATTCTTACAAGTTCCTGGAAAGGCTCTTACCAGTAACAGAACCCAAGAAGCATCAATGGCCCACCCTATACTAAACTGGATTAAACGGTTACAGGCACTTGCCAATGTCAACTTTGTCAATTCCTGATGTTCAATACAATGGTGTTATCAACCCTGCACAAAAACCTACCATGTCAAGTTGTATTCAATTCTCTACAATCTATTGGCTGTTCCTATTTCTGAGCAACTAAAGGCTTGCTGTTGATCTTCATAATCAATGGGTTCATGTTCTAGGCTGGCCTTAGAACTCTGTAATATAGCAGACAACCCCTCTTTCTTTTGCTTCGACCAGCCAAGTGCACAGGGATTAAAGGTGGATGCCATCACACCTCACTTATCTGGTGCTGACAATCAAACTAGGGCTTTGTGTATGCTAGCTTGGTAAGCCAACTAAGGTAACATTCTGAACCCCACCCCACCCCACTTTGAGAAACAGCCTGCGTGGCCAAGGCCGACCTCAAATTTACCATTCTGCTTCAGCCTCACAAGTGCTGGGCATTATCAAGTGTATGCCACTATACCTGAACTGTTCTTAAGTGAGCATGACTTGGGCACAGGTGAGCCAAACAGATCACAGATGGCACACCAGCAGAAAACTGTACTCAGCGAACTTATTATTCTCTTATGTAACAGAAACGACAGTAACTCACAAAGCAACTGCTACTCTCCTGCTAAGATGCTGCCTTAATCTTAAAATGTCACATTACTCTTCCAACAAGTTCTGAGACAGTATCACTATGGAGCAACAGCTGGCCTGCAACTCAGATGTGCATGCCTCAACTTCTGGGATTAAAGGCATGTGCCACCACACCCAGCTGGAGACTCACGTTTTTAATGGATGAAAATGCTGTATTGACCCTTCCCTCAGAAGTCACTGTTTTAACTTTCCGGCATTTTTGACATGAAAAAAATTTTTTTTCCAGTAAGACTCCAGACACTAAACTGTTGGTGGCAAGAAAACTTTTTATTCAACTGCGGTTCAAGATTGTTTTTTAAGAATGAATGCATTTTGATAACCAATAGATTTTCAAAACCAAATTTTTGCCAAGTAGTTTATTACTAAAACTTCATTTAGGGCAAATAACTATCTACAGCTACATTATACCATAAGCATATTAAAAGGCTAATCAACACTGAAAGCCTTCCAGATGACCACTAACTCTTTAACAAGTGCAAACAAGGGATCAAAACCATGCCATCGATAAGTAACTTACCCCAGGACTCCTGGACGGCTTGCCAGTTTAGTCTTTGGAGGTCCCCGAAAAGCATTTTAATGTTACCATGTTACTGCTGCTGAGTAATAGTGCAAGTGCTAAAATGCAAAATTCAGATGTACAGGGTTTGGAAATCATGCAGATTTAGATGCAGAGAAAAATTTTACAATAACTCAAGATCCTTTTACAGAGGATACTTAATAATGAAACACTGTGTTCACAAGTCTAGAGGATAGTTTCAAAACACGCACCTTGCAAAATGACAAACCTATTTATCATCATCTATTTAGGTAAGGGCAGTGGGGAAACTACCAACAAAAACAGTCACATCTTTCCGGTTAGAAAAGAGTTCCCCAGTTCTCAGTAGTCACAGGAAAATACAACAATCAAGGTATTATTGCTTTTACATTCTTAACAATGCATTGTGAGAGTCTAATCTGATTGTGAGCACCATCACTACATGCCCCTAACCCCAGAGGGGCAGAGCCCACCTCACTTAAAAGACTGCCAGATAGACAACCCACCCTACTAGTTCTTAAAGCTATCAGGCTTCTGAATGGATTTCAGGCACATGGTTTCTTCTACTTCATCCCTATTGCAATTAATTCCACTTTTCAAACCCCCCAGAATGATGTTTATCACCCCTTCTTTCCCATTGATATGCTCTGCTACAAAGCATTTGGAAACAACTGTTTTGTCCCCTCCCAAATAGTATTTTTAGAAGGAATGAGTTCCCAAAGGAGACTTATACAGCCACGTCAATAGAAAAATCACTCAAATGCAGAGGCACTCAGAACAAGCTGGAGGGTAACTGCTTACCATTTTAGGTTCTGTCACCCAGACTTATGAAAAACTAGATTAAAAACAGAATAACCCATGGAAAAAGTTTCACTTTGGACAATGCAAGAACAAATAGCAATTAAGTCTGGGTATCAGGTGTCAATGCATGACAGGTGATGAATCCATTTGACTTGAGACAACTTTTCAAATAAGTTTATTTGAAGCAAAATAAACTACTGCCAAGAAACTTTATGAAAGTTCCATCTCAAAAGGGTCAAAAAGGGGAATTAACTGCTATGAATTCTTTGCATTCAGGGCTGCAAAACAAAGACACATATTATTTAAATCAGTTTTATTTAAGAATTTCCAACAATGACAACTCTTATAAAAAGCATCCAAGCACAGGACACAGAACTGCAGCAAACAGCATTCTTATGTTAGCTAACAGACATGAGAACGTCCACCCTCTTTGAGACACCTGAGCTCACTGGTGAACTCTGCTTCCAAGTTCTCCTGCAAAGCACACCACAAGCTCAGTCCATGTTCGCAGCCCATCAGCTTCAGTTCACGTGCCCACACTTCCAGCTCAGTAGCAGAGGAGAACACACATACAGCATTCACAGCAGTTGACAGAGGGGAGGGAAGTACAAGTATTTCACTGAACACATTCAACTAAAGTGGGTTTTCTAAGAACAAAACTCAAAGTCTTCCAACAGATGTGGATGTCCTTTGATGCGAAACATTCGTACGTTTATTTGCTATCATTGCTCTCTGCACACTCTCTCACCAAAGCCACAGGATTGAGTGACACATCTCTCCAAGTTAAAAAATATCCATTTTGCACCACCAAGTCTCTGCACGCGCTCTCTCCTTTCCTCGCTCATACTAGCCTTTCATGCCTCGGCACCACCATCAATCCCACACAAGGTTTCAAAAGTTCAAACAGCCTTCTGGTTCCATATCACAGCCTTGCGTTCATAGCGTTGATACGACTCCATGAAATAAAGAGTAGCGGATAAAAATGGAACACCCACCGTCAAAGACGCAGCCTGTGCAGCGTGATGACGAATTCTTGGATGAGAAAGCATGTAGACAGAAGTATTCCTATGGCAGAATATTTACAGCACTACTTTCAATGAAGTGCTTCTTCCATAAACATTTGAAATGAGATGAACTGCAGAGATTAAATGAAGGCTTCATATTGTACTTTCGTATATGAAGGAAGACAAGTGTTAAAAACAAAACCAAAAGAACCAAACACCATGACATCATGATCTCCCAAATGGAGATTTTCCTAAGGAAAAAATTCATAGGGTGGGATTCAAATTAAAATGAGAAAAGAATGTAGTTCTAACCAATGGTTTCTATTCTGAACATGCAAAGAATCCATTTAACAAGTTCAATGACAGAATATTACAGAGAAACCTTCTGAGATCAATTGTAGTGTTGGTTTACCAATTAGGCAAACAGCAGTTCACTTTCACCCACTCAGTATTTTAACCCTTTATATAACAAAACTTATAAAATTCATTTAGCTTTTCCTCTTTTTCTAAAGAAAAATGTCAAAAATACTGCTGAATATACTCCACACTGAACAAACCAATCTGAAAATTTTTAGTACATATGTATTTTACAATATACTTACCATGAGTTTAGAAAAATTTGAATCCCACCATTCTATACCTACCTACCTATCAACTGACCACCCCCCCACTGCCTACATTCCCCAGCCAGAGGATTTAGAATCCATGCTTGAGCCAAAGCCGCCATTAAAACCACTGCCTGACCCTGCATTTGATGCTGATCCCCAACCAAGAGGGGCACCAGAATTAGAACCACTATAGGAATTATTCCCTGAACCAAATGTCTGATTTGGCTCCCTTTGCATGCTGCCCTGGCTTTGGTTATTACCAGATGGACCTGACTGGTTCTGCTGGCTGGCTAACATGCCCATCATACCCCAACTGCTCTGCAATGCTGCCTGAGCTGCAGCCATCATCGCTGGATTAATGCTAAAAGCTCCGAAGTTCATTCCTCCACCCATATTGCCACCCTGGTTATTTCCCAAGCCAGCTCCACCCCCTCTACTGTTACCAAACCCACCCTGATTCCCAAAGCCACCTGGATTACCACCAAATCTTCCACTTCTTTCTAACTGTCTATTGCTATTATGCTTAGGTTCAGCATTGGATATATGCACGCTGATTCCTTTAATGATCAAATCCTCTCCACAAAGAGACTGGGCAACCTATAAGAAACAAGGATGTAAATGGTGATTAAACCAACCAACCCACGTACCAACACAGCAATACAACCTAAATCTTAGTATAACCCATCTAAGTAGAAGGAAAAATAAGCAATTAATGCTAGTTTCACTTCGGTAACGTTAACATCAACACCTGTAACTAAAAAGATGTGTAACAGCCCCAAAGCTCACATAATGAAAAACATCGGAAGGGTATCTTACACCTATCTAAACCCACACACTCTACCCTGAAAAGGTGACAATCAGCTGGAATGAGTCACTTATCATTCTGAGTGCTGGAGACTGAGCTCAGCACCTAGCGTACCATGCCGGGCACATACAGTAGCCCTAAACCAGATACATTCCCAGCCCTGAAACGTATTAATAAGAAGAAAAATACCTTATCATCTGCAAAGGTAACAAAGGCAAAAGCCCTGAATGGTTTGGGAATGAAGACATCTACTACTTCTCCATACTGACAGAAGAATTGTTGAAGCTCTTCAGCAGTCATATCCTCTGTACAACGCCCAACAAACACCTTTCTGCTTCTCAAAGGTTCATCTGGGCTTTGCTGGTCAAAAGAAAGGAACATCAGAAATAAATACTATACACTCTCCCCTTTCTTTGGTGTTTTGCCCCCCACCCCCACCCCAGACAAGGTCTATGTATCCTTTGTTGGCCTGTGCCTCTGGGTGCTGGGATTAAAGGTATGTGACAAGACTTACGGCCCCTTGTGGGGGGAAAAAAGGCGTGTCTTGCCTATATGGATCTATGTGACCAGGTGCATGCCTGGTGCCCTTTAGGACAGAAGGGATTAGATCACTCAGAAATGCAGCTAGCTGCATACTTCCATGCAGGTGCTGAAAACTGACCAATCCCTAGAATTAAGTAATTACTAATTAAGTTCTCAACCCCACTTCCTTGGGATTTTAAGACAGCCCCATGTACCCCAGGATGGCCTTCATCTTGATATGCAAGTGAGGACAACCTGGAACTCCTGATCCTGTTACTACCTCTCACATGCCAGAATTACAGGAATGCAACATCATGCCCAGTTTTAATTTCCTTATTAAATGTGTGGTCTCATGCACACGAGACCATTATGAGCACATTTGGGAGAGAGTTTGATGCTACTCATCTTTCTTAGTCATTCTCCACCTTTTTTTCTGAGTCTGGGTCTCTCACTGAACTTTTATTTTTCTAGACCGATAGCCGGCAAGTTCCACGAACTCACCTGCCTCCCCCTCTGCAGGGGTAGGATTACAAGCACATCCTACCAGTTCTTTAAACAAAAAATGTGGGTTCTGGTGGAAGTAGCACAGGTCTCAAGAGTCAGGCAGTGTTTTAATCTCAGCACTCAAGAGGCAGAGGCAGGCTGACCTGAGTTTGAGACCAGCCTGGTCTATAGAGTGAGCTCCAGGATAGCCAGGGCCAAATAGAGAAACCCCGCCTGAGAAAAACAAAAAACAAAGCAAGCCCGCACAGCAGTGGTGGTGCATGCCTTTAATCCCAGCACTTGGGAGGCAGAGTCAGGTGGATCTCTGTGAGTTGAGACCAGCCTGGTCTATAAGAACGTTCCAGGACAGGCTCCAAAAGCAACAGAGAAACCCTGTCTTGAAACAAATAACCAAAACCCAAACCAAACCGAGCCAAACC